TTGTGTTTTGGTATCACTTTTGATCACTTTTGGTATGTCTCTGTCTCTGTGGCTTTGGTATCACTTTGGTATGTCTCTGTCTCTCTGTGGCTTTTGGTATCACTTTTGGTATGTCTCTGTCTCTCTGGGCTTTTGGTATCACTTTTGTATGTCTCTGTCTCTCTGTGGCTTTTGCACTTTTGGTATGTGTCTCTCTGTGCGCCTTTTGGTATCACTTTTGGTATGTCTCTGTCTCTGTGGCTTTTGGTATCACTTTTGGTATGTCTCTGTCTCTCTGTGGCTTTTGGTATCACTTCTGTCTCTCTCTCTGTGGCTTTTGGTTTCACTTTTGGTATGTCTCTCTCTCTCTCTCTCTCTGGCTTTTGGTATCACTTTTGGTATGTCTCTGTCTCTCTGTGGCTTTTGGTATCACTTTTGGTATGTCTCTCTCTCTGTGGCTTTTGGTATCACTTTTGGTATGTCTCTGTCTCTGTGGCCTTTGGTATCACTTTTGGTATGTCTCTGTCTCTCTGTGTTATCACACTTTTGGTATGTCTCTCTGTCTCTCTCTGCGCGTTTGGTTTCACTTTTGGTCTCTCTCTCTGTGGCTTTGGTATCACTTTTGGTATGTCTCTGTCTCTCTTTGGTATCACTTTTGGTATGTCTCTGTCTCTCTTGCTTTTGTATCACTTTTGGTATGTCTCTGTCTCTCTGTGGCTTTTGGTATCACTTTTGTATGTCTCTCTCTCTCTGTGCTTTCACTTTTGGTATCTCTCTCTCTCTGTGGCTTTTGGTATCACTTTTGGTATGTCTCTCTCTCTGTGGCTTTTGGTATCACTTTTGGTATGTCTCTCTCTCTGTGGCTTTTGGTTTCACTTTTGGTATGTCTCTGTCTCTGTGCCTTTTGGTATCACTTTTGGTATGTCTCTCTCTCTGTGGCTTTTGGTCTCTGTCTCTGTGGCTTTTGGTTTCACTTTTGGTATGTCTCTGTCTCTCTCTGCTTTTGGTTTCACTTTTGGTATGTCTCTGTCTCTGTGGCTTTTGGTTTCACTTTTGGTATGTCTCTGTCTCTCTGTCTTTTGCACTTTTGTATGTCTCTCTCTCTGTGGCTTTTGGTTTCACTTTTGGTATGTCTCTGTCTCTCTGTGGCTTTTGGTATCACTTTTGGTATGTCTCTGTCTCTCTGTGGCTTTTGGTTTCACTTTTGGTATGTCTCTGTCTCTCTCTCTCTCTCTCTGTGGCTTTTGGTATCACTTTTGGTATGTCTCTGTCTCTCTGTGGCTTTTGGTATCACTTTTGGTATGTCTCTGTCTCTCTCTCTGTGGCTTTTGGTTTCACTTTTGGTATGTCTCTGTCTCTCTGTGCGCCTTTTGGTATCACTTTTGGTATGTCTCTGTCTCTCTGTGGCTTTTGGTTTCACTTTTGTATGTCTCTCTCTCTCTCTCTCTGTGGCTACTGGTATGTCTCTGTCTCTCTCTGTGGCTTTTGGTATCACTTTTGGTATGTCTCTGTCTCTCTCTGTGGCTTTTGGTATGACTCTTGGTATGTCTCTGTCTCTCTGGGCCTTTTGGTATCACTTTCTATATGTCTCTCTCTCTGTGGCTTTTGGCATCACTTTTGGTATGTCTCTGTCTCTCTCTGTGGCTTTTGGTTTCACTTTTGGTATGTCTCTGTCTCTCTCTGTGGCTTTTGGTTTCACTTTTGGTATGTCTCTCTCTCTGCGCCTTTTGGTATCACTGCATAGTTTGTTATGTTGTATTGTCTCGGGATTTAGGTATCAGGTGAATTAGTTGGTGAATATTCATACCGGGTTGGGAATCGGATATTCATGGAGGGAGAGGGAGGGAAAGAGGGAGGGAGAGGGAGAGAGAGGGAGAGGAAAATAGAAAGGGAAATAGGGAGAGAGAGAGAGAGATGGAGAGGGAGGGAGAGGGAGAGGAAGAGAGGGAGAGGGAGAGGGAGAGAGAGAGTGAGAGGGAGAGAGAGAAAGAAAAAGAAAAAGAGAGAGCGAGAGAGCGAGGCAAAACCTCACACCACCACCGCCACTACAACCCCCTTTCTCACCCCCTCCCCCCTTCTACCCTCCCCTCCAGACGAGCAAAAATGCCAGCTCCAACACGAGAACTACACAGCTCCCTCTTGGATCAACGCCACCCAGTACCCTCTCGACTCGAGGCCAAGGACGACCATGGAGGAGAACATCAAGTACCAGATCACGTACCTGGCCCTCCACTCGGCATGGCTGTTGTCCTGTCTGCTGTTAATCTACGGTAAACCCTTTTTTTCATTAATCTATCAAATACATTTTTTTTTTTTTTTTTTTTTTTTCTTTTAATCAAATGTTCAATACCTTTCTTTACATTAATTTAACATTTGATTTTCTTTTCTTTTTTTCTCTTAACACCAGATATTCAATAAAATTTTTGACATTAATCTTTCAAACATTTATTTTTTCTCAGGACATTAAATATTCAATACTTTTTTTTTTACATCAATCTATCATTAATCTATTTCTGTTTTTTTTTCTCCTAACACCAAATATTCAATACTTTTTTTTTTTTTTTTTTTTTTTTTTTTTTTTTACATCAATCTATCATTAATCTATTTCTGTGTGTGTGATTTTTTAACCCGAAATATTATATACTTTATTATCATTATTATTATTATTTTTTTTTTTACATTAATCAATCATTAACCTATTTCTGTTTTTTATTTTCTCTTAACACCAAATATTAAATCCTTTTTCTTTTTTTTAAATCAATCTATCATTAATCTATTTTTTTTCTCTTAACACTGCATATTTAATACTTTTTATTATTATTATTATTATTATTATTATTATTATTATCATTATTATTATTATCATTATTATTATTATTATTATTATTATTATTATTATTATTATTATTATTATTATTATTATTATTTTATTTCTTTATTTTATATATCTTTTTCTTTACATTAATGTAACATTAACCTATTTCTGCTTATTTCCTCTTAACACCAAATATTCAATACAAGTACATTTCCACCCGTTTTCCAGGTATGCATTTCTCAAATTACATTTCCTCCTCCAGGTAACGCCAGAAAACTGTGGGGTTATTACGTTCCTTGGGTTCTCATAACACTCACTCTTCTCATAATGGATGTTGTTATTGCTTCGTTCTTCATGCACGATCTCTCGGTGAGTAGTTGTGGATGTGTGGGATGTTGTTGTTATTTTTTGTCATGTTGTGGTTGTTATTTGTTGTGTTTTTTTTTTTTTAGTATTGTTGTTATTATATGATTTTGTTGTTGTTTTGTTGTTGTTTATGTTATCATTGTTGTTATTATTGTTATTGTTATTATCATTATCGTCGTCATCTTCATCATCATGGTCGTTGTCGTTGTAGTCATTATCATCATCATCACCATCATCATCATTGTCACCATCATCAACATCATTATCATCATTATTATTATCAATACCACTGTTATTATTATAATTACTATTATTGTTATTCTATTATAAAATGCTTTTAATTTATGATTAACATTATCTGTATGATAATGTAAATGAGTATGATTATTACATTTGATAATGCTAATAGTATTAATGGTGATGATAATGATGCTTATGATAATAATAATGATATTAACTATGATACTTGTTATTGTTACTATTTTGTTATCCTCATCATCATACCACCCCTCATCACCCCCTCCCTCACCACCACCACCCCATCCTCACCTCACCAATCCCCTCCCTCGTCCCACCACCACCCCCCATCATCATCCTCAACCCCCCCTCATCACCACCACCGACACCCTCATCCTTCCCTCACCAACCCCCCTCCCCCCCTCATCACCCCCCTCACCTCCCCCCTCCCCCTCACTACCACCACGCTCACCCACACCTCACCAACCCCCCTCCCCTCACTACCCCCCCCTCCCATCATCACCCACCAACCTCACCCCCCCTCACTACCACCACGCCCTCACCCACACCTCACCAACCCCCTCCCTCATCCTCACCACCCCCCTCCCTCATCACCACTACCACCCCCTCATCCTCATCCTCCCTCCCTCCCTCCTCACCACCCTCACCTCTACTCCTCCCCCCTCTCCCTCCCTCCCCCCCACCCCACCACACCTCCCCTCCACCCCCTCCCCCTCACTCACCCCCCCCCTCCTCTCCCCAGCAAATCCCGTTCGGTTTCAAGAGCAGCAGCGCCATGAATCCCCCCCTCACCCCCCCACCCAACTCCCCCCCCACCCTCACCACCCCCCCATCCTCAACAACCCCCCTCCCTCCCTCCTCATTACCCCCCCACCCCATCCTCATCCTCCCCCTCCCTCCCTCCCCCCCTCCCTCACCCACCCTCACCCCCACCACCCCCTCTTCACTCACACACCCCCCTCTCTCTCCTCCCCAGCAAATCCCGTTCGGTTTCAAGAGCAGCAGCGCATGATCTCCCCCTATCACCCCCCACCACCCTCACCACCCCCCCAATCCTCATCCTCAACCCCCCATCCTCCCCCTCACCACCAACCCCCTCACCACCCCCTCATCACCCCCCTCACCCCCCTCACCCATCCTCCCCCCCATCCCACCACCCCCTCACCCCCCTCACCCCTCTCACTCACCCCCCCCTCTCTCTCCTCCCCAGCAAATCCCGTTCGTTTCAAGAGCAGCAGCAGCATGATCTCCCCTCATCACCCCCACCACCACCCCCCCCCCCCCCCTCACCACCCCTCCCCCCCCCTCACTCCCCCTCACCACCCCCATCCCCCCCTCACCCCCACCCTCCCCTCATCTCCCCTCACTCACCAACCCCTCCCTCCCCCTCACTCACCCCTCACTCACCCCCATCACCATCCCCCCTCACTCCCCCACCTCTCCTCTCCTCCCCAGCAAATCCCGTTCGGTTTCAAGAGCAGCAGCGGCATGATCTGGGCGTTCAGCATGTACCTCAGAGGTTACGTCATCTGGCTCGTGAACCTGGTGGAGTTCGGGACGGGGCTGAACGCTTTCTCCAAGACGTACCACAAACGTACCAAGGAGGCGAGGAAGATGAGGAAAGTGAGGGTGAGTTGTGAGTTAGGTTTCTTTTTTTTGTTTTTTTTGAGTTTTTCTTTTTTTTCTCTCTCTCTTTTGAGGGTGAGTTGTGAGGGTTTTTTTGTTGTTGTTGTTGTTTTTATATATTTATTATTTTTTTCTTTCTGGTTTTGAATCTGGTCTTTGTTGGTTTGGCTATATCTGTGTTTCTCTCGCTCTTGTTCTTGTTCTTGCTCTCTCTCTCTGTCTCTCTCTGTCTCTCTCTGTCTGTCTGTCTGTCTCTCTCTCTCTCTCTCTCTCTCTCTCTCTCTCTCTCTCTCTCTCTCTCTCTCTCTCTCTCTCTCTCTCTCTCTCTCTCTCTCCTCTCTCTCTCTCTCTCTCCCTCTCCTTCCTTTACCATATCCATTGGACAAGAATTGATAAAAAAAAAAACATAATCAGCATTTAAAGTTTCTCTAAATAACTCAAGAATAAGCCCAACGGTATCATAGAACACCACAAACAATTTATAAAAAAAAATAGTCTGACAATGTGTAACAAATTGTCCAGAAATTGTCATGGAATCTGACTGTCTTTTGTTTTCTCTAAACTTTCAAGAAGCGTCACGGAATCTGACTGTCTTTTGTTTTCTCTAAACGGAATCTGACTGTCTTTTGTTTTCTCTAAACGGAAGTCGACTGTCTTTTGTTTTTTCTAAACGGAATCTGACTGTCTTTTGTTTTCTCTAAACGGAATTCGACTGTCTTTTGTTTTCTCTAAACTTCTTTTTTTCTCCCCTCGTCAAGGCAGAGCGACATGCTGATCGTCATTAACAGGAGCTGAGAAGTTTTCTTGAAGAATGGAGGAAGAACTGCTTCTTATTATGCAGTAGAGGATCGCTATTGTCTGTTTGCTTTGTCTTTCTGATTCTGTGTCTCCTTTTGTATGTCTGGTCTGTGTGTCACGGTCTCTGTCTGTCTGTCTCTCTGGCTCTCTCTGTCTCTGTCTCTGTCTGTCTCTGTCTCTGTCTGTCTCTGTCTGTCTCTGTCTCTGTCTCGTCTCTGTCTTGTCTCTGTCTCTGTCTCTGTCTCTGTCTCTGTCTCTGTCTCTGTCTCTGTCTCTGTCTCTGTCTCTGTCTCTCTCTCTCTCTCTCTCTCTCTCTGTCTCTCTCTCTCTCTCTCTCTCTCTCTCTCTCTCTCTCTCTCTCTCTCCTCTCTCTCTCTCTCTCTCTCCGCCCTCTCTCCCTCTCTCTCTTCTCCTTCCGCTGTGTGTGTATTTATGTATATACATATTTACACATACACACACACACACACACGCACACACACACAACACACACACACAACACAACACACCACACACACACACACACACACACACACACACACACACACACACACACACACACACACACACACACACACATAAACACACACACACACACACGCGCAAAAACTAACAAACATATATACAAAAAATACACACACATATATATACCATATACTCTGATGTATATGAATATATTTTGAGTTTTAAACAAAGGGAACTTTCACATGAAGCCACGAATATTGCAGCGTTATCATCAGTTCGAAGATAACGCTAATCACTGCAGGATTGGTAGTGATCGTTATAATTTCACCAGTGTGTCTTGTACATCTAAGATAACGTGAATCAAGATGATGGTTGTTGAAGTGTATTTGTAGTTCTAGTGGTGGTGTGGTTTTGTATGAGAAAGGAATTAAAACAGTTGAATGACAGAGTGTGTATTTTTAACCTTCTGTAGTGTAAGTTTTTTTTTCTCTTTCTGTTTCTCTTATTCTCTTTTTCTTTCTCTCTCTGTCTCTCTAATCTTTCTTTTTCTTTGTCTGCTGTTTCTCTCTCTCTGGTCTCTGTCTCTTCTCCCTCTCTCTCTCTCCTCTCTGTCTTTCTTTCTCTCTCTCTCTCCTCTTTCTCGTCTCTCTCTCTCTCTCTCTCTCTCTCTTCTCTCGTCTCTCTCTCTCTCTCCTCTCTCTCTCTATCTATCTATCTATCTATCTCTCTCTCTTCCATTTACCCACCTCCATCCTCACTCCTTTTTCTCTCAACACTGATAAGAATAATAACGTGTTTCTAGGCAAAGCGAGAAGTAAAAAACAGACAAGCGGTTTCAGAACTTTTCAAATTTTCCAAGTGTTTCGCTGATTTAAACTGCGCTGGATTATGATTGTATGAATAGAGATGTCTTAAAGTGAATGTAATCCATATGAATTACTGTTCTTAAATATTCATTTTAGGTTACAGTTATACGAGTTGGCAAAGTTGCCAAAACACGCATTAGAAACATTGATAAGTATCAGATATAAAATATTACAGATGTGCATTATCTACAACGCGATGATCACAAGACATAGATAAACTCTATTTAGCGGCAATGCGAATTCTAATATGCATAAGATGCAGCGTAATTAAGGTTAATTGTATTCCTAGAAATTGGAGTAATACATAAAAACTTAATACTAATAACA